CTTCCTGTGACCTGTTTCTCATAATATTGCTGTGTTTGTATTAGGTCTGTATTCTGCAGATGAGAGAAAACATGCCGTTTTTGGCTTTCTGACCTGGCTACTTCATTTAAGATGAGGTTCTCCAGTTCCATCCATTTAACTGCAAATGACAAATTTCATTTTTCTTTGTGGCTGAATAAAATTCCATTGCATATAAATACATTTTCTTAATCCATTTATCAGTAGTGGGGCATCTTAGCTGTTGTCAAAGCTTAGCTATTGTGAATAATGCTGCAATAAACATGGGTGTGCAGGTGCCTTTGTTGTAACCTGACTTACATTCCTTCAGGTATTAACCTAGGAGTGGAATTGTTGGATCATATGGCATTTCTATTTTTAGTTTTTTGAGGAGCCTCCATAGTATTTTCCATAGTGGTATACTAATTTATATTCTTACCAGCAGTGTATGAGGGTTCTTTTTTCTCTACATCCTTGCCAACATTTGTTGTTTGTGTTCTTGATGATAGTGAGGTTGAATCTTTGGTTTTGATTTGTATTTCCTTTATGGTGAGGGATGTTGAGCACTTTTTCATGTGTTTTTTAGTCATTTGAACTTCTCATTTTGAAAAAGCTCTGTTCAGTTCATCTGCCCATTTCTTCATTGGGTCATTGATTTGGGGGGAGGAGTTTAGATTTTTGAGCTCCCTCTATATTCTGGTTATTAATCCCTTGTCAGATGTATACCTGGCAAAGAATTTCTCCCATTCTGTGGACAGCCTCTTCAATTTGGTGATCGTTTCATTTGTTGTGCAGAAGCTTTTTAATTTCATGTAGTCTCATTTGTCAATCATTTCTCCTACTTGCTGAGCCTTTTGTGTTCTATTTAGAAAATCCTTGCCTATGCCTATTAATTCCAGTGTATTCCCTGCTCTTTCCAGCACTAGCTTCACTGTTTCAGGTCTTATATTAAGTTCCTTAATCCATTTTGAGTTGATATTTGGATCTACATTCAGTTTTCTGTGGGCAAATATCAGTTTTCCCAGCAACATTTGTTGAAGAGCCTGTCTTTCCTCCACCATAGTGTTTTGGCACCTTTGTCAAAAATCAGGTGGGCATAACTGCATGGATTCATATCCGGTCCTCTGCACTGTTCTTCTGGTTTTCATATCTGTTTTTGTGCCAGTACCATGCTGTTTTTGCTCGTATGGCTCTGTAGTATAGTTTGAAGTTGGGTATTGTGATACCTCTAGCATTGCTCTTTTTGCGCAGTATTGCCTTGGCTGTTCATGGTCTCTTGTGTTTTCAAATGAACATTAGGGTAGATTTTTCAATCTCTGTGATGAATGTCTTAAGGATTTTGATGGGAATTGTGTTAAACATGTAGATTGCTTTTGGTAGTATAGCCATTTTCACAATGTTGATTCTACCAATCCATGAGCATGGAAGATCTTTTCTTCAGTAGTCTTCAGTTTCTTTCTTCAGTGGTTTATAGTTTTACTTGTAGAGGTCTTTCACATCCTTTGTTAAGTTTATTCCTAAGTATTTTAATTTTTTGAGGCTATTGTAAATGGAATTACTTTCCTATATCGTTGATGTAAGGAAAGGCTACTGACTTTTGTAAATTGATTTTGCATCCTGCTACTTTGCTGAAGCCATTTATGATGTCTAGGCCTTTTTTGGTGGGGCTTTTCTAGGTCTTTTAGGTATAAGATCATATTATCTGCAAATAGGGATAGTTTGACATCTTCCTTTCCATTTTGTATTCCTTTTATTTCTTCTTCCTGTCTTACTCCTTTGCTAAGGAATTCAAGACCACGTTGAATAAGAGAGTAGACACCCTTGTCTCGTTCCTGACTTTAGGGGAAGTGTTTTTCCCCATTTAGTATGATGTTGACTATAGGCTTTCATACACGGCCTTTAATATGTTGAGGTAGAGATAAATAGGTCTTTGTGGTAATGTTTTAGCAGCCTTACAAAATTAACTTAGTAGAAATGGGGTATAATAAATTACCTGGAAGTGTGAATGTAACTTTGGAATTGGGAAATGAATAGTGTCTGTGAATATTCTGAGGTGCTTGATTGAAAAAGCAGCATAATTGCCTTGACGAGATGGCTGATAGAAGTATGTGAGTTAAAGGCAGTCTGGGGAGGCCTCAGAAGGAATTGGTGAATATGTTTGACAGTGGAGAAAAGTGATCTTCATTATAAAGTTGCAGACAACTTGACTGAACTGCAGTCTGTAAGGGATGAACTTGAATATTTTGCTAAGATTTCCTAGCAATGTGTAAAAGGTGCAGCCTGATTTCTCCATGCCGCTCATACTAAAATGTGTGGGAAAAGAGAGAAGTAGAGGAATGGATTATTTAGCAGAACTGACCCTGCACTTAATAATTTGGAAAGTTTTCAGCTGGAAAACAGCTTTTTTTTCCCCTTTCCCTATACTAGCTATTTATTTGAAATGCCGTCTATATGTAGGATGAAGTCAGCATCAGTAACAGTTGAAAAATACAACCAGTGAAAAATCGCAAAAGATAAATGTATCATTTCACAGCACTCTACACAGACCAATTCAAGTTTGGAGGTACCTAATAAAAATACTCTATTTAAAAAAAAACACTATGTACAATTGAAGCGTAAACAAGTTTTACAAAGTACTGGTCATGGAGGTTGTAGAAAACAGTTCCATAGGATGTGAAATCAGTTGAAGAGAAATTTCTTTAGTATTGAAGGCTTTATACCAATAAGAGCACAACAACAAGAAATGCAGTGGTATAGAAGGTCCTGCTTCTCTCAAGTGAAGATGTGGTACATACACAGCAAGTGGAGTTCAGGAACCTTTAGCTTCTAGCTATCTCATCTAAGGGCAGGATCCCTATGGCCTGCCCCGGTAACCCGGGTGCAGTCACATGCAGGTACTCCTGAGGAAGCTTCCAGCGCTTATTTGATCTCAGACAGAACCCACAAGCACAAGAACATTTTCAAGACACACACTTGCAAGTAATCTTTCTATGGAAACAGCCACACCATTGTTCAGGAGGTGGAAGGTTAATACACAGTCTGGGTATTCTTGAAGAAGCAAAAGACTTGTCCAGGAGACAGCTATGTAATAGCAATTGCAATCGACAGAACAAAATGTTCACATTTCACAAAACATTGTTCCTACAGCAGTGTTAATGGAGTATAGTAAAATACTGTCTAGTGGTGTGCAGGGGAGCTCTTAGCAAGGTTATTAGTAGTAAGATTTGAGAGTCAACCATGTAGTAGACAGTTAGCCATTGCAGATGTGGCAGTAGCACCCATCCCTGCAGCTTTACTAATGACTCCAGAGCCCAGAGTCAACTGGACATTTAAAGTCCAGTTGAGTTCAGTCCTAACATAAAAACATGGATGCCTTGGAATTGCAGAACAACTGTTTTACAGATGTTTCACAAAACACATTTTTCCCTACAAGGCCAATTCAGCATTATGAAAACACATGTTGCAGGGTAGATACTGGGGAGTGTTGACCCTTCAACTCAGCTTTGAGCCACAGTGTAATCAGGGCCCTTGTTTTAGAGAATTTTATACTGGCAAATACAGACAATACTGAAAGAGACAAAAGCAGGATCAAAAAAACAAACAAATAGGGTAGAACCACAAATTCAGAGGCCTAAGCATAGGATGCTTCCTGGTACCAAACAGCAGTCTGTTACTCTATTGGACCCAGAGTACAAAGCATTGATCTACACAAGATTATTCTTAGGTCTTAAAATCTAATAGATTTGCTTTCTAATAAACTAACATGTCTGTATGAGAGTATCCATTTTCCTACAGTCTTGTCAATACAGTGTGTTGGCAAACATTTAGATCATTGTCAGTGTAATAGGTAAAAAATGATATTGCACTGTTTTCATTTAAATCTCACTAAGTGGCATGAGCTTTTTGTTTGTGTGTGTGAAAGCCATATTTTTACTGAGGTACCTTTTTTTTGGCTGTTAGAGTTTGCTTTTGGCTGATTTTTGCCATGCAGAAAATTATAGTCAGATACATCATCCTGTTACTCAAATTTTATGTTATTCTTGGAAAGGCTTTCCCAGTGTGAGATTGTTAAAAGGATGGTCCATTATCAAAATGGGTTCACTTGTAATACCTGCCACCTTTATAGGGCTGTATACTCCAAATATGAAATCCAGTTTCTGATGTTAACTTTTTATTACTGTTCAGAGAGGATGACCTGCCTCACTTCATACACCTTTAAAATGTGAGAAAATACAGGGTAACATTAGGTTTGTTTGTGCATACATGTGTGTGCCTGTGTGCAGTGTTTCACAGGACTGCTGAAAGCAGAACACTGGAACTGAACTTTGCTGTGGAATTGCTCTATATATTAATATCAAGTTCCTGATGTGGTTCTAAGTAAAACTGTTGATTAGAATCAAGGAAAGGCATTCCTGTTAGAAAATTCCTTACAACATTTCTTGGGTATTGAAACATCTAGACCTATACTTCTTTCTTCTGGTGCCTCTAGTTCTGATTCTTTCTGGAACCACTTTCATAATTTAGCTTTTCTTCAAGAATCAAATTGCTAAAGTGTATTTTGTATACTACTAAGAACTGCACTGGCAATATACAGTTGCTACCTTGCAACAGAAAGTATTTTCTTTAGAGTAATGACATTAAGGATATGATTGTTTTGGGGTGGGGGGGGTTGTTGTTTTTGAGAGTATTTTGCTGTGCTGAGATTTGAACCCAGGGCTTTGCACATGTTAGGGCACTCTACCCTTGGGTTACATGCCTTTTTTTTTTTTTTGAGAGCAAGGTATAGCTATGTGGCCCAGGCTGGCCTGGAACTAGCAAACTGCAAGCCTCTTTCTCTCAACTGCTGTTACAGGTTTGGACTACCACACCAGGCTATTTTATCTAAGTGTCCTCTCATTCATTATTTCAATAAAATTTCTCCTTTAGAAAGCATTTAATTTGTTTTCTTTTTATATTGATTAACTGTAAACTTGAAAAGAATGGTGTATGTTTTTTTTCTGTAGATCCCAAAGAAGAGAAGGAGGAAGAAGACAACTCTGCCATCCCTCGGGAAGTTACCACTGCTGCAAGTAGACCTAGTCGGAGCTGGCGCAGTGGTAGCAGGACGTCAGTCTCTCGCCTTCCAGACACCGAGAACACTCGAAGCTCTCGATCCAAGACTGGTTCATTGCAGCTCATTTGCAAGTCAGAACCAATTACAGATCAGCTTGACTATGGTACAGTGCAAGTAGGATATGGTTACTTAATACCCATGTTTTTTTCCTTTTTTTTTAAACGTAATGTTGAACACTTACCTGAACGTCTTCATTTTCAGGTACAGGTATAGGTATAGGGAGGGTTTCTTTTGAACAATATTCAGTTACTCTCCTTTTATGTAATTACCCCATACAGTAAGTAATTTGACTTAAATATTTTGGAGACAATATCTTATGTACATATATAAAGGTTTTTTTTTTTTTTTACTTTATTTTTCTAGAAGTTGCAGAAGAACATCAGTCTCCTGGTGGCATTAGGTGAGAAAGTTTTCATATTTCATATTGAAATCTCTGAGTACTCAATCACATTGAATGATTCAGAAATTGATTCTTATGCGAAAGGATTTTTAGCTGTTAGAGAAATTAACTTCACGGGCTGATGGGGTGGCTTAACTGGTAGAACGCCTGCCTTGCAGGTGTGAGCCTTGAGTTCAAAGCCCAGTACCACAAAAAAAAAAAAGGAAAAATTAACTTCAGTTTTAATGTTACATTTAGATTTCACATTTGACTTTGATTATAGCATAAGCCTCATAATTTAAATATATAGTTCAGAAACCACGTCTTGGGTACATGATGTACTTGGGCTTATTCCATGCTGGGCACTGATGTGAAATGTAAGTATTTTGACTAGGATTTTGAAAATTTTCTCAGTATCTTCCATGCTACATTGTTATTTTTATCTTTTTTGTTGTTTGTTTTTGTTTTAGGTCTTTCATGAAACAGTAGATTGTTAGACATAATGTTAACCCATTCAATTGTTTTTTAGTTTTTAGCACCATTGAAAAATTATCCCTCTCTCTTTATCTTTTGTCTAGGATTTGTGTGTTGTGGGTTTTAATTATTATTTAGAATAAACAGCTAGTTTACAGCCCAACTAGATCATAAGGATGAAAATTTTAGATGACTTAATGTAAACTTTTGACTACCTTAAAATAAGTTATCAAATACAATGTAGACAGACATGATCCTTAGAACTATAATTTTTCATTCATATTTGCTGTTTTTTAGTAGTGATGAGGAAGAGGAGGAAGAAGAAGAGATGTTAATCAGTGAAGAAGAAATACCATTCAAAGATGACCCAAGAGATGAGACCTACAAACCCCACTTAGAAAGGCATGGCTCAGATTTTACTCTACACTTACCAATGAAAAATACATAGGAAACACTATTACATGCTTTCATTTTGTCTTGTTGACAGACTAAATTGATATATAAATATTTTTAAATGAGTGATTAGTTCTGAATTTGTTTTGCAAATTTAGCATCTTATCACTCATACAGTTTTCCATTTAATAGAACTTAAATTTCATCATAATCTGAATTAGTCGATGTGTGCATGTTTTATATCTTTATAAGATACCATGATTGATTTGCCCAGATATTTAGACTATTTTTACTCCATGTCTTATTTATCCTTATAACTTAGTGGTATTTGATTTTCAGGCATCTTTAGCCTAGAGGTTCATCCCATAGGCATCAGATACATAAAACATTGCTGTGCATGTGAAGAACATTTCATGAGAAATTACAGTTTATGAGCTGAGAATCAAAATTTTATAATGTCTGTGCTAACCCTGAGCTTTAACCTGCTTTCACAGTCTGCCTCAAAAAAAGTCTTTGGTGGAATACCAATGTTGAAATGCATTTCTGTTCTCAGGGAAACTCCAAAGCCACGGAGAAAATCAGGGAAGGTGAAAGAAGAAAAGGAAAAGAAGGAAATTAAAGTGGAAGTAGAAGTAGAGGTGAAAGAAGAAGAGAATGAAATTAGGGAAGATGAAGAACCTCCTAGGAAGTGAGTGTGCAGTTAGAAATTAATTTTTTGAAGCCACTAGGGGAAAAAGGGTGAGAGTATGAGGAGGGACATCAACATGTATATACTTCAAAAGACATGTTTGTTAATTTAAACATAAAAAAAATAGTCTGGCCTTAAGCAGCTGAAAGTTTCATTAGAGAGACTCCTTAGAAGCTTGAAAAGTTTTAACTTTAATTGAAAGCCATATGAGCAAGGGAGACTGTAGCTATAGGGATGCAGAGGGAATAGAGACATCTTTAAAAGAAGAACAAATAAGAGAAATGTGATAATCTCAGAAACTTTTGCCTAGCACTCACTTCATCAATGCAGAAATGAAAATTAAGCACTTAGTCTTTTGGGTTGATTCTGTTGTAAGGAGAGTTCATGTTTAGAGTTTTTAGATAATAAACTTATCTATTCTGAATTGATTAAATTTGAATGAGAAACTTTTCCTCATAGCAACTCTTCAAGTAATAACATTGAGATTTATCCAAGCCTTCCATAGTAATGCATAGTTTATGGAAGGCATATAATTTAACAGACACAGACTAATTTAAAGTCAAATACTTCAGGTTAAAATCTTGATTTGCTAGATAGTATCTTTGGCTTTATGTATTCTGGATTATCCTCTTTGTCTGCCGCCTGTTCCTTGGCCTTGAGAACATGTCTTCAGCCATTCTTTATCTTTGTAAGCTTCTATCTGGAGTACAGTAGACTGTTGGTTATGTGATTATGTGGTTGAAAAACCACCATTGAGGAAAAATCACACATGCTCTGGTTGCATACAGTCCAGTTGTCTCAAATTTTATAGTGCACATAAAGTAGTCTGAGTATCCATAACTCCAAACTGCATGGACTAAAATACATATTTTCACAAAAATTACTGTTGTCCAAATTTATACTGCTCACCAAAAACTAGGTCTTATTTCGTTCTCTTTATCTCAAATAATGCAAATGCTTGATAAATTTTTCCATAATACTGTCTGACTTCCACTAAAGACATGCCACTTTTCGACAAATTAAAATTTTCACTTTAATCACTTTAAGCAGATTTCATGCCCTTTTTGAAAAGCTTGAAAAGATTACCATAATTTTAATCTTGCTTTTTGAGGAATATTTTCACCTAAGGGCTGGTAACAGTAGATCACACATTTAAAGACAATTGACAATAATGTAGGCTGACTGAGAGTTTCTCCATGTCCGCTAAATTGTGTGATGCACGTAAGGAGTTTAAATTTTCTTTTTTTATGAAATTTCGTGTGATTTTTAAAATATTTAATTTTCCTCTGTGCAGTTCATGAATAATGCAGGCCAATTATTCTTTTTTAATTACAGGAGAGGAAGAAGGCGAAAAGATGACAAAAGTCCCCGGTTACCCAAAAGGAGGTGACGAATTTATATTTCTGGAGTTGCCGGGGTTGCACTATATTTCTAATGCTAGGCATTTTACTCACTTGTTTACCTTTCATAATAATCCTGCACGGATGGCTTATTTTAAAATTTCACAAAAGTAGTTTCACTTATGTTCATGATGTACATTGCAAGATGTTGGAAGTTTCTAAAAATCTTAGAACTTCTTCTTTGCCTTTTGGAGAAATGCCAGTTTATGCCATTTGGGCAGTTTCTGATTATTTCTAATACAAATTCTGTGCAACCTGTATATTAGTTAAGAGATTTTTATTTCTTATTACAAAATAGCTCTTCTTTAAGTACAGAATGCTACTTTTCTGTTGCTAACCTTTCTCCAACATTTTGATAATAGGAAAAAACCTCCAATCCAGTATGTCCGTTGTGAGATGGAAGGATGTGGAACTGTTCTTGCACACCCTCGCTATTTGCAGGTCAGTGAGGTTGTTATACAAGACAGCCATTCAGGTTATGTTTCATTACTTGTCCTTATACCTCATGAGACCTTGTGGGTTTGTATAGGTTTTTATCATTGATGTATAATATTAATCAAAACATTTTTTAGTATAAAATTCTTTTAGTTATTTTCATCCATGAGTACTGGTATAACAGAATACTTGAGACTGGGTAATTTATAAAGGAAAATTTGGGGGCTTATGGTTCTGGAGTCGTAGAAGTCTAAGAACATGGTACCAACATCTGGTGAAAAGACTTTATAGTGTGACCCCATGGTGGAAGGCTAACAGGCTAAAAGGGGGCAACAGAGGGCAAAAAGGAGCTGAACTCATGTTTAATGATCCTATTCCTGTACTAACAACTTTAAGCCATTCATGAGAACAGCATTGAAACACCTCTAATTAGAACCTACCTCTTAACAATATTGCATTAAAGCCTAAATTTCCAACATAGGAGCTTTGTGAGAAACATTTAAAACATAGTGTAAATGCTCTGTTTACAAAAGAAAAAAAGACTAAAATAACCTGAGCCCAAATACAGGACTTTTCTCAGAATTATTATATGGTATAGTATTTCCCCAAATGGTGTGAATACTTCTGATATGATGTGATTGTAATAATATATCAAGATACAAAGTAACAGATTTTATTTTAAAATGTATTAGAAAAAATGAATTTAGCAGCTCAAGCCAGTGGTTTCTTAGATTGTACAGATTGAATAAAAGATTTTTGCTTTCTTTTAGTTTTTCTTATGTGGACAGATTTTTTATAAATGAGTTAGGAGGTCAGCTTATATTTATGTCTGGCAGAAAACATGAAAGTGAAATGCTACTCTGGAAATGCCTGTTTGATCTTTATCAGCAAGGATAACATGACAGGCCTTTTGGATTATGACTCTCTTAAATAATGATAGCTGCTATCTTGCTATGTGCCACTTGCTAAACACACTGTAAAATATATGATCCCTTTATCTCTCACAATAATATGAGACATTTCTCATTGTCACCATCTTAGAAATGAAAATAGGAGCTTGAAATACTTAAGTACATCTCCTAAAATGACACTATTAGTGACTGGTAGATTGGGATTGAAACTCCATAGCCATTCTTTTTAACCATTTTACTATTCTTCCTCCCCATCCACATATAAAGTATTCGATTTTTTTCTTCAGAACTTTTGGCTTAGCAAAGAAAAGAGCTTTGAGGCAGCCTTAATGTTTATCCATTTTTCACTTTCCTTTACTATTTTAGCACCACATTAAGTACCAGCATTTGCTGAAGAAGAAGTACGTATGTCCCCACCCCTCCTGTGGACGACTCTTCAGGCTCCAGAAGCAACTTCTACGACATGCCAAACATCATACAGGTATGTTTTTAAATAAGATGTTTTCAAGTAGCCAAATGAACTGTACTTTAGGTATACACATTGGTAGTGAAATAATTTTCTTCTAACATATGCCTTCTTACAAAAGTCAGTCAAGTGTGGGAGAAAGGTGTGAAAATAAGATTTAATAAAATGTATACCTGTGATTTGTGTTTGGTGGTACACACCTTTAATTCCAGCACCTAGAAGACTGAAGTCGGAATATCATAAGTTCGAGGCCAGTCTGGCCTACATAGTAAGTCTCTTATCTCAAAAAAGAAAATTAAAAAATATGTGTATTTGTGTATGCATACAGAAAGTCCCATGAATTCATGATGATTTTTAAAAATTAAAACTCATTATTAATGTTTCTATTTGAGTGATGTTAATTATAAATTTTACAAGAGATGAGCAAGCCAGAGCTTTTGAGCTTTTATCCTCTAACTTCTTTGACAATTTTTATGACCCAGGTAATCTTTTACTGAGCATGTGTGAACACTGTACATATATTCTTGCTGATCTATCCACTGAACATCACTAAGTTTGTTTGGTTTAACCTTGTTGTATATCTAAGAAACCAGAGATGTAACAGTATTAAGTAATTTGCCTGTAATTGCTGGTGCATGGCTCCAGCACCCCTGCCTAGCAAGTTCAAACCCCAGTACTGCCAAAAAAAATTTTTTTTAGATTTGCCTATGATCACTTAGCTAATTTTTGAATTAGCTAATTTAGAACTAGGATTTTTGAATTCTGCTTCAGGTAAACACCTGTAGTAGCTGTTGTGAACTAAAAATGAGCAGCATTGGGGAGAAAGCCTAAACAATAAAAGAGCTTGTCTGTGATGTACGGTTAACTTATTAAATAGCTCTTAAGACTTACACAGCTACAGAAATTACAAAGCTAGCTATTGAATTTGCATGCAGCAGCATATTCCTAATTCTGTAGGAACCTCAGAAGAGTAGCTGAGTGTAACATATATTACAGAATAAACTCAGATTCCATTCATTTATAGCCAATCTCCCTGAAATTCAGCTTACAATGGCAAATTAGGTTGGTTATTTATGTCTCAAGTACTTGATTATTATGTGTTATTTTCTTAATTTTGGAAGCTAAGACCAAGATTCAGTTGCAGAAATACGTCCCCTTCCCTGAGATCTTACTGTCCCATATACTTTTCCAACTTCATTTACTCTGTATGTGACATAGGCAGGTTACTTAACTTGTCACTTTTCCTTAACTATAAATGAAGGTTCTCATAGGATGAAGGGATATATAAGGTGTTATCTACTTTACAGAGCCTGGCACATGGTAAGCTTTCTCTAAACACTAAGATTCAAATTTGGGTTTTATTACACCGAAGACTATAATCTTGGCCCCAAATATGTCATGAGAGAGAATGCTGTCTTCACTCTTTCTTGATAGGTGCTGTAGTTTTTCTGTTCCTTCTCCATATTAATACTGTTTTATCCCATAGAAAAGTCATTTCTGACAGCCAGTTTAAATATTTTAGCTAAATATCAGATGTTAATATGAGAAACTCTTATATAAATTCATTCTATTCCAAATGTTTGTATTTGGCTAATACAGTTTTATGGTGTTTTCCTTTTGCAAATGCTATGGACTCTTCTTTGCAGAAGTAATCTATTTAGCAAATGAATGTCCCACCCAGATTTGCCATGGTGATACAGAACAGGACAAGTGGACAAGACCTGGGAAATGTTAACGTTCTATCATATGTTAGAACTGTGTGTTTTTAGACCTTGCCTTACGTAGTGTGGAACAGCCAGCAGGGTCATCACTTGGGTCCTTGTTAGCCATAAGAATCTCAGACATAATAAATCAGCATATGTATTTAATAATAACATCCCTAGGATCTTCTGAAGTTGACCAGTATAGCATTCTGTTTCACAACTCATGCAGACATGGCGTGAATAATGGTGTGATGTATGAAAAAAATGGTTGGAAGGAGCTGATCAGGACCAAGTGTTTGAGTATTACTTAGTTATGTTCAAGTTTGACAAAAATATGACTCTTTTCCCACACTTCATTTTAAAGCCATTTGGAAGGAGTATTGGATTAAATTGGATTTTGTTCACCATTTAACTTATATTCATGGTTTTACTATGACCATATCTATAATTTTAAGATAAAAGATTAAAAAAAAGTAGTGATTATTAATTCAACAAATATTTATTGAGCACCTATTTGTCCTTTGGCTCTCTAATCAAGTAGTAAAAACATAAATAAGTACAGTACTCCCTTGTCCTATGATTCCAGACCATATTGCTATATTCATCAAAAAATGTGTGGAAATGAAAGAAAAACAGAACTGACAAAGGGAGGTAGTCATATGGTGCAGAAGATGTAGGGTAGCAGAATAACATAAAAAAACATAAGTAGTGTTTACATGTATTTAAATGAGAAAAGTTTAGATTATTTATCTTGGTAACTTTGTACAGTGCTGGGGTTTGAGCTACTTAAGCTATGTCCCCAACCCTTTTTTGCTTTAGTTATTTTCCATGTACAGTCTTGCATTTTTGCCCACGCCAGTATCAGACCACCATCATCCTACATATGCCTCTTGCATAGCTAATTATTGACACGTGCCACTATACCTGGCTTGTTTTGTTGAGTTGGGGCATTCATCTTTAACAATCTGAAAAAATATTATTTCAAAGAGTAAAACCTGGGCCAGGCATCGGGGCTCATGTTTGTAATACTAGCTACTTGGGAGGCAGAGATTGGAATAAAATTCAAAGCTAGCCTGGGCAAAAGTTAGGAAGACCCCATCTTAATCAGTAAATAGGACTTGTGGTATGTGCCTGTGATCCCAGTTACACGAGAAGCCATACATAGGAGTATCACCGTCCAAAGCTGACAGTAGACAAAAACATGAGACACTATCTGAAAAATAACTAAAGCAAAAAGGGCTGGGGGGGGGGCTGTGGCTCAAGTGGTAGAGCACTTGCCTAGCAAGTACAAGGCCCTGAATTCAAATCTTAGTACCACTAAAATAGACAGGTAGGTAGGTAGGTAGAAAAAAAATAAAACTCAGGGGAAATATTTCTGACCAGTTTACCCAAGAGCTAGATTATTGATAGCATTGAGATTTGGATTCTGGTTTTTCTATTTCTTCCTAGGTTTTCATGTTTATAAATAGATACTTAAGCTTCTGCTAATATATGAACTACAAATAAAATCAAAACAGTGCATTTTTAAAAAATTTTGTATATCCAGAGTTTTTATAAATTGAAAATAGCTTTGCCTTTATTTTTAATTGACCTACCTAATCACTAGCTCACCAGCCCACTTGTTGTAAACTAAGGAAAATACTTAGAGAGTGTCTAAATGAAGCATCAATCCCATTATTGTTCTTCTTAGATCAGAGAGATTATATCTGTGAATATTGTGCTCGGGCCTTCAAGAGTTCCCACAATCTGGCAGTGCACCGGATGATTCACACCGGCGAGAAGCCATTACAGTGAGTATTTATTTACTGAACATCTGGTGAGAAGTACTCGTACCTCACTTGAAGGTTTGTCCCCTGCAAACATTTTAGCCGCCACTGCTGTTTATATTTACCAAATTAAAGAGTAGGCATTGATTAGGGGAGCTAGTAGTTTCCTAATCCTTTACAAGAAGTATATGTTACTGGTTTTTTGTGTAGCTAAGTTCTTACATGATCCTTGAAGAAGATTCTTTATTTCTGTTTGATTACCCATCTCCTTTTTGACTCTCCTTAGATGTGAGATCTGCGGATTTACCTGTCGACAAAAGGCATCCCTTAATTGGCACATGAAGAAACATGATGCAGACTCCTTCTACCAGTTTTCTTGCAATATCTGTGGCAAAAAATTTGAGAAGAAAGACAGCGTAGTGGCACACAAAGCGAAAAGCCACCCTGAGGTGCTGATTGCAGAAGCTCTGGCTGCCAATGCAGGCGCCCTCATCACCAGCACAGATATCTTGGGCACTAACCCAGAGTCCCTGACACAACCTGCAGATGGTCAGGGACTTCCTCTTCTTTCTGAGCCCTTGGGAAACTCAACTTCAGGAGAGTGCCTGCTACTAGAAGCTGAAGGGATGTCAAAGTCATACTGCAGTGGGACGGAACGGGTGAGCCTCATGGCTGACGGGAAGATCTTTGTAGGAAGCAGCAGCAGCGGGGGCACTGAAGGACTGGTCATGAACTCGGATATACTCGGTGCTACCACAGAGGTTCTGATTGAAGATTCAGACTCTACTGGACCTTAGTGGAGAGGAAGACTTTGGGCACTGGGACAGTTCAGACTTTGTATTTAAAGGATAAAAAGGACAAAAAAAAAGAATTTAAAGCATTGAAAATCTAGTAAAATAACTGAAGGGCCTGCTCTTTCCATTGTGGATCACAGCACACACACACACACACACACACACACACACACACAGCCCATCCCCATTCTGTGAACTCTCTCTGTTCTCTTCCTTAAATAATTGATGTTGCCTTTACCACAAAGGTAGATGAAAAAGAAGCATTAGCCGGTCTTAAGGTGAGGATTATCCTATTCGTTCCAGCCAGTGGCAGACTTCCTGCTCATCAGCAGATCCCCTTTTCCAACCTGTAACTCTGATATGCTCTGGATCAGCTTTTAACTCTTAGTAATATATTACTGACCTCTAAATCCTTTCTCCTTACTGCTGCACTATGGTTCTGGCTTCTACCCACTGCAACACACTTATCCTCAAATATATAATTCTAATCTCTGGAGGCTGGCAGCTTGACTTGGCACTTTAGGGCCCCTTAGCAGAATGTGCTGTTAAAACAGTACACATTGCTCACCCCCTCTTCCTCCATTCCCTGTTGGGTTTTGGAAAGGAAGGATACATGGGGACCACCTCCCTTCTCTTTGATCCTAGCACCTCAGTCTCCCGAATCTCCATATAGCTCTTAATGGTGCTCACTTGCTTGGAAGCAGGCTCCCAAGAGGGAGGGGGCTGCCCTCTACACAGTCTCTTTGACCATAAGACAGGGCGTATCAGTGAGAAAAGTCCCAGGCTAAGGCAGAAATTTGCACTTTGAACATGTGTGTTTTTGTGTTGTGGAACCTGAAATTCCTTATTTATTAATGGAAAGTCTGACTGGGGGGTGGGGGTCTTCATTGCTATATTTTGTGGGGCTGGGAGAGATACGATTATTCTGATACGGGATCCTTTCCATAAGAGGTACTTTGAAGGCAAGGCATAGGGTTGAAGAAGCACAGCCAGCCTCTAAAATCATAGCTCTCTGGTGGCCTTTAAAGAAAACTGGTCCTCAGCACTAACAATCACTACAGTAGCCTAGTGCTTTTTTGGAAGCCATCTTAGGGAAGGATGGTAGGTTCGGGATAACTAGTGTGCTGTCTGAGATCTTTAAAGAGCATTGACATTTAGGAATTTTGAGGGGATGAGGAGTATTGTGTTGTTCAGGGTCTGAAATACAGATAAAAGATTTTTTTCTTGTGCATTTATTTTCTTTTCCTGTCCTCACTGTTTTCCTACATATATCTTCCTACTGGCCTGACTCAGGCCCCTTGTTTTGTTTTTGTTCTTTGCTTTGCTTTGTCATTGGTTCATTCCAGCTCCCTGTGAGTGAAGGAACAAAATCTATGAGTCCTAAAGTTTTTAGTTTTTTTAATCCCTTTTAGTAACATCTATGAAGAGAAAAGGTTTGATAGACAGTTGATAGTCTGTATAATGGAGTTGGCTTTCATCTGAGTTACCACTTCCTATGGAGTAGGGATTTTCATGTGTTGTGGAGTGCTTATTGCTGTCAATGGGAGACAAAGGTAGTGTACAAATTCATAACTTTCAGAAGACTAAAAACTTACTTTAGCTCATTTTTAGAGATTTAGAAGGACAGTGCCTATACTTCTGTGTACCTCAGAAGCTAGGACTGAAGGCTTACTCTATTTATTACCAGAAATATATGGTGAATGTTGGAAAAATGGAATTTTGCTAAGAACAAAGTAAGGAACAACTTGTTTTTTACAAACACTAAAACTATAAAGTTTATCACTTTTCTCTTTGATTTACTTTTTCCCAAAAAGAAGAGTGACAAAATGTCATCTCTGAAAGAGGCTTACTGTACACCCACTAGTGTCAGTGGCTGGGATACCAGAGAATAGGGAGTGAAACACCTACTGTGAACAGTGTTGAATGCACTATTGTTCTTTTAGAGTGTTGCAGATTTGCCATCCCTCCAATGGGAGGGTAGAAAATGAAATGAGAATAGAAAGGATGTAGAATATGCTTTCATGCCCACAGGGTTTGCAATTAACTTTGATAGTGTTGAGTAGGTTTAAAATACTGTTAAGATTGATGGGATGGGTCTGCAATGGTGTAGCTCTGTTTTGTACTACTTCACTAGCTAGCATCTATATCCTACGCTTACCTTTTGTCTTTGTCAGACTTTTTAATCTCCATAAATTAATTTCACTTACAGTGATTACTCATCAAATACTGTAGTCACCAACAGTAACGCAAACTGCATTACAAACAAATCTCTCCTCTTTCTGGGATGGGGGAAAATATATTCTTCCCTATACCTCACTCCCCACCCCATGAAATACTTAGTTATAATTGGAAACTTTCTGTCTTTGCGGGGGGGGGTGGGGAGATTGGGTCCTCTTCACAGCTACCACTTGCCAACAATAAATTATTGTAGCAGTTTGCAATAAATTTTAAAATATTTTTCATGGACTTAATATTTTTCTTTTTAAGAAAGGAGTACTAGCGTAGGATAGAGTCAATATAAGCAAACTAAGCCCCATTTCCATTTCTTTTCTATTCATAATGTTTATTTTATTGTCCTTTCAAGGAGCGCTTTTAATCTTGAAAATCTGTATTTCATACTCTTAATAAAATTTTGCTACCTATTCTCCCCACTTCATATTTTTCATCTTGAATTGGCAATTCTAAATTCTAAGTTGAGATACAGCTATCAAAATTTCTGGGAAATGTGCTTCCCCCTTCTTTGTGGTAGCCCATGGTATTTTTCATAATTAGAGTTCTTAATATGTTTCAAATAATTTAGGCAAACACTGGCAGGGAGTCTTGGGGATAAAGAAAATTATTAAGGAATATGAAAACATCCACATAGAGCACTTGAAACCTCCTTTGTACCTGTTTGGAGGAAAAAGCTTATAAAATATACTACCAACCCAAATAAGGTTATTATAGTCTTGTTATTTGAAGTACCAGTTTTTTCCTCCTCCTTTTTCCCATTTTCCAATGTATTCAAGAAAAATGAAAAATTGTAATGGATCAATTATATTTCCTAAAAACTCTTTTGCCTGTTGAAATGCGCAGGACCCTTCTCCTTTGACGGGAGAGATGAGTAGTTACCTGAATCTAGGTTGAAAAAGTTATGTAAACAGAAATTACAATAAAAGGGATACTTTGCTTTTCAAATCTTTTGTTTTCTCTTATCCTAGGTAAGGCATATCCAAAATAAGTATGTAAAGAAGAAAAATAAAAGTTGTCTTCGTGGAAGCAACTTGTCTTCTATGATCGTACTAAATTAAGTTATCCCAGGAGTGAAACAGTTGATTCTGCCAAGTAAGCACACTTAAGTACCCTCAGGGCATGTTTTGCGTGTGGTTTACTAAAGGTTGCTCTTTGTTTAGAGAACCACACTTCTGACTGAGTTCTTGATTTCTAATGCTGAAATGCTGTAGTGATTCTGTGATCAGCAAATTTGGAAACCTTGATATTTCAGTAGCTTTCTATTAGGAAATCTAGCTCTATTCATCTAGTAGAAGAACATTGGGTGCTATGAGGGAAACCTCACTGTGATAGTGACAAAACCTTGATATTTAAGTGCTCCACAAAAATTAATACTTCCATCTCAAGTACTAACAACAACAGCAAAACGATAATCTTCCTACCAAAAGTTTGACTGTCATGGCTAACCAGGTCTTGTTTCTTTTTCTCTTACATGCCTCATTTATTGTTTACCTTTGTAAATTTGCTTATGAAATGGCATGTGTTCCAACTTACATGGCAGCATCTATTATGAGAGATGGTGGACACTAATTGATCCATTGGGGATGAAATTTGCACACTTTACCCAATTGTCGTCACTCTTGAGTGAAAGGCAGTAGAATGACAACTCTCCAAGCAGGTTTTAACTCATTTGTTCTAATTTTTCTGAACATGTTTTAGTTCTTGTTCTCTTTCAAAGGCTAGCTCATTTTCTTATTTTGTTAAGCAAGGAGAATGACTGGGACAGTGGAAAAAAAAGAAGCATGTTGTCACTTGAGAGCAGCTGCCTGACAAATATTACCAACATAGGGTTGGGTGTTTCCTTTGGAAGAGTACAGGCCTAAACAGTGCCTTCCACATCCTGTAGCTACCAAGAAGGCACTATGATTGAGAGTAGAGATACTTTATTAGCTGATTTTTTTCTTCCTTGGTGGTACTGGGGTTTGAACTTGGGACTTCATGTTAGGTAGGCACTCTACTGGTTGAGCCATACCTCAAGCCCTGATTTTTAGATATAATTGAAGCAAAAGGATTAGAGGGGAGAGATGACCTGTTTCATGTAATCTTTGTTTCTTGCACAAAATGTGAGCTGTCTAAAGAAATTGGAAAGTCAGTGGAGAAAACAGCAATAGAACCAATGAACTGTATATAAATTTGAGCCTAGATTTTGGATTTTAATTCTTCAAGCTTTTTCCTTGTATAAAATGGGAAAACTAATATTTATCCCAGGATTATTCTAAGAATCAAATGAAGTTCTTAAAGCCTTTATACAGTATGTAATTCATGGTGTATGTTTAATAAATGGCACCTACATCAGTAACACTTAATGAACACTTTGCCAGGTCAGAACAAAAAGACAGACATGAGGAGCATAAGGGAAGGGATAATAAAATGAACTGATTATATTGTATATAAAATAAATTACATTAGGCCAGGGTGTCATGAGGATTAGTGTGATAGTGACCTTGTTGCTAAGTACAAAAGCAAAACAATGACATAAAACAAGTGTGCTAAGTACTGAGTGGAGGAAAGAGATGGGCAGAGACTGGAGGGGAAAAAAAAAAAAGCTTATTAAAAGGGCCCTTTGATTCCACAGGCAAAAAAATCCACAGCCAGGAATTTGCTGCCACCTCTGAGTCAGACGGGGTGGGGGTGGGGGTGCACAATCCCATTAAAGAATGCCCAGTGTGGACTTAGTCTGTGAGAGTCACATTTCTTATTTGGGCCAATGTAGACAGAAGCAAACCCGCTCATTTGTTTCTTGGGACAGTTGAATTAGGGGATGGCTTTTGCAGAGCATTCACCCCTGACCCTTCACCGCCAGGACCTCTGTAGCCGCTCTATCTGGCTAGCAAGGAAGATTCGTTCAGACCTGACTTCTCTTATGGAATCTTATGTAAGTTGTCTTATTTTACTATTATCTATTTCCATTTCCCTTCATTTCTTCTACTCCAACTCCTCACCATCATGTTCCAGCCCCATAACCAATTATAATGACTGCATGGTGATACAGTCACTCATATATATATAGGACACCTATTATGACATGGGCTTTTCCATTGAGGAAACTTATGTAACTTACTGTCTTCCTCAGATTGTTTAGGAGACATGCTGTTCCTTGAATGAGAAAATACATGGATTCACGTGGGCTTACTTTATATCTTGGAGGCTATTCCTAATTTGATTGCCTTTGTTCTGAATCCTAATCCATTAACCATGGCCCTCTTAAGTTTGGGTTCTTCATAGACATTGTTCTGAATTTTTGAGCTATGTAAATGGAAGAGGTTTATAGGATTAGGAGGAAGAGTACTATGAACTTGGGAAATTTGTAAATCCAACCAACTTCTACACAGGATAAGTCACCCACATTTTAGTATTACACATCAACAGTGTCCATGTGTCTAAACAGAAAGCTATTGAAAGTATTCCCTGGAGTCTATGGAAGTGTCAAATTCTTTAGGAATTAACCGTGGAGTTTCAAGTTTGTTTTCTGATACGAGGATACCCAATCAATTTCCACCTATGACCTGCTGTGATAATACTCCAAGCCCCTACCTGAAGTTCTAAATTTAAGTTTTCTGAGAATTGGTTTATCTTTGAATAGTCCAGCTAGTTAGATTAACTTTAAAAAAATTGATTCCTGTATTTTAAAAAAGATTGATCTCATCACCATTAAGAATGAACAATGGGGGTAGGGAGTGTAGGAAATTACTTAATAATGGCTTTCAGTCTCCCTATGTGATCAGTGCCTTTATGTATGTTTAAAATACTTAAACTCCACTATGATTAAAATATTCCAGTTTTCAGGATAAAGTCTGGAGTGAGAAAGACAAATTGGAAATCACTAGTTTCTACCTTTTAGAACTTGATGAAAGCAGAGCATTCTTCTAGGGAAAATGCGCAGACATTCAATTTTAGGGAGTAAAGTCTAGTCATGGATCCCAAATGAAGTTTCCATTCTAGACACTTTACTTTCTTACAGCTTGGATCCTTGACTAGGGAGGTAAAGGAGGTTTTTACATGTGATTTAAGTAAGGATACTAGGGTAATTACAGAAGGTGTGTTTCCCTATATCCTTGGCCAGGTGACACATCAGGGCCTGAACAAGAATGTCAACCTGGACTCTGTGGATGGTGTGCCAGTGGCAAGCACTGATCAGTGGAGTGAGCTTACCGAGGCAGAGCGACTCCAAGAGAACCTCCAAGCTTATCGTATCTTCCATGTTATGTTAGCCAAGCTTTTGGAAGACCAGCAGGTGCATTTTACCCCAACTGAAAGTGACTTCCATCAGGCAATACATACCCTTCTGCTCCAAGTTTCTGCCTTTGCCTACCAGCTAGAGGAGTTAATGGTGCTTCTGGAACACAAGATCCCCCCGAATGAGGCTGATGGAATGCCTGTTGCTGTTGGAGAAGGCCTCTTTGAGAAGAAGCTGTGGGGCCTAAAGGTGCTTCAAGAGCTTTCACAGTGGACGGTGAGGTCCATCCATGACCTTCATGTCATTTCTTCTCATCAGATGGGAATCCCAGCACAAGAGAGCTATTACATGGCTAAGGACAAGAAAATGTAGCCCTCTCTCTTTTTCTTACTTTCTGTTTTAATGGAGTACATATAGTTTTCTGGGGCTCATTTCCCCATCTTCAGTTTTTGAAAACCTTTAAGACTACAAGCATTTTCATCAAGTAGAAGTGGAGACATGGACAAATGGACATACAGATTTAGTCTGGGATGCATGCATGCTTACATGCATGTGTGTTGGGGGTATAAGAGATTGAAAGCAGGGATATCCTTCCAACTTAGTGCCCTAACCCTCCTGCCCACTAAGTAACCTTTCCAGGCATTTAACAACCTTAGAAGAGATAATATTCTAACTCTAGATTTGGATGAATTCTGAGAAGACTGAACCAGTAAATTGAAAGTCATGATTTTCTAACCAAACTCTAACACAGTAAAAAATAATAATAGCTAACATTTATGGAATATCTGCTGTATTGAGGCAGTGTGCATTATATAAAACTTACATAATACAGTGTGTATTATGTGTAACTTACAACAACCTTGTGAGAGAAGTGGTGTTATTCCCCTTGGCAGATGAAAAATCAGGCTCACAGAGCCTCAGTTAAAGTCACATAGCTCCACGTGGAACACTAAGTTTGAACCAAGGTCCTCACTGTAATTAGAGGGAATTGTGAACCTCTATCACTGTGTCTCTTCGTCTCAGAGGGTTAGAAAATATGTCCATGTATACCCCCAGTACTGAAAAATAAGTCCCATTTTACATCTTCATAAGTTAACAGCAAACCATAGCATTAAAGGCGGTATTTGTTGCCCATATCTGGCAAAGAACAGAGTACCTGTAGATCTTAAAATTCTGTTTCAGGAAAAGATGAAACCCACCAGATTTCAAACCTTAAAAGCTGGGAATGTGCAGTAATTCATCCTGGCTTAAAGTATGTGCTAATGTATTTATTGCTGTACTTTCTGAGTTGGGCATTGTTTTAATAGGTTACCTCATGTTTACTGCAATCAGCCATCCAGTGATACAATAAGGCACTGGTGTCCCAAGCATTCACAGACAGTGGGTGGAATACTACTCAAGTTAAAAAGTCACAAAACTATCACCTCACATTCTTTGGATTTAGTCATGAGGAGAAAGTGAGGCTATGCTGGGACTTCCAGAAATTCAGAAACAATATACAGTAAAGGCTCTGCTGCACATCAAATGGGCAGAGTTCTGCACGTAATGATGAGAGAACCACACATAGTATGGAGTGCAGGGAAATGCGGACATTCATGGGAAAAGTCACTTGCAGTGAGGACCATTTTCTAGTAGTAGGTGTAAATCTAAAAGTTCTCAAACATCATTTATTTTACACTTATCTATAATTAAGATCCATATCAAGATCTTGGACTGAGGGGCCACATCAATTTACTTTAAATAATCAAAGCATCTTTATTAAACCAACTATGAGTCAGAGATGGCTAGCTCCCATAACTTGTTTGAGGTGGGATATGACTTGTATCCTCTCCCATGTGAGTCCACATCCAAAGTTCTATGAAGTCAATATTACAACAGGGCTCAGCTAGGTCTTGTGACAGATCAGGAGGGGGAGTAGAGTTCTCCTTTGTATTACGCATTTGTGGAAATTGGCGACATGATCTATTAATGTTGTGTGTGTGTGTGTGTGAATTATAAAGCCAGGGTGTTAGGAATTAAAGGTCAATGAAGGAAGAAATAATTTCCTGGAGGAGGGAGAGTGAAACAGGAGTTGTGTCTCAGAAGTTGGTTGAGTACAAAATAAAGAAAAATTATGGAGAAAAAAGGAAGAGTTGACTGCTCAGAATAAAGGTAGGTGAAAATAAACATTTTAGGTCCAGCTACCACTAGAGGCTTATTGTTTGGTTTATTTAATTTAATTTTGGTAAAGGTCGTTTCCAAATAAACATATAAAGGCTATTTCATTCAAGCTTGTCTTATTTAAATTGTTTCTTCTGCTTGATAGCAGCAGTTCTGGTTAATAAATATTATCTGCTTATTAATGTAAAATTTTTAGATTTATCGGGATAATACTTTTGTTTAATGGAGAGAGGTATGACTAAAATTTCATGATGAGGAAAAACTGATTTTGAACTTTCTGGATCTGAAATGAGTGGCCTCAGTCCAGTGTTTCAATGTCCTGCAGATGTGGCAGGACAGACACCTGTAAAGTTTCAGAAATCATTGGAGCCTAGTTTAAGCTCTGCTCAGCTGCATATGAAGGAATATTTATGCATAAGAGGTATGTTTAACGTGGCAGAGAGCCCAGGAACAGTACAAGTGTTGAATGGGAGGAGATTGGAGGATGTCTATCTCTGTAGCTCACAGAAGCAGCTAGTCTTTACCAAGTGTGTTCCCAGCACAGCTAAGAGCTATGTATCACTTTTCCCTTCAAGAAACTAGCAACATGCCTCAAAACAAGTGTGGGGAAATCCCTTAGAAAAAGATAGGGAAAAGTGATCATTTAGCCATATAACAAAAATGCAAACACATGTGAGATCTAAGTGGATAGACATTGCATCATATTTTCTTAAAATGGATAAATTGAATGAGGGACAGATTGACAAAAGTTCAGTGTTCTAGATGTGTGTCTTATAAAACCGATAGGGATAGTGAGAACACTGTGGAAGTACATAGATTGTTTGTTTTTGTTTTCATTTTCCAGGCTAGAGATGGCACTCAGCCCCTCATGGGTTGTTTTTGAAGTGCTGGGTTGAGATGTGGAAGGTAATTTATCACTGAGCTATACCTCCAGCCCTTGGAAGTATATAGCTTTTAGGGAGCCATGACTCAAGAGACTTTTGTTCTTTAAATTTTATTCCCTTGGGTCTTTAAATTTTATTCTCTTGGTACTTAGATCTGTATATGAATAGAATCTCAGAAACTCAGGTATAACTATATAGTATTTTAAGAAGGTGCATAAATTTAGTTTTATGCACCCTAACTTTGCAAAAAGAAAAGTTCTGTCTACAGAGAGAGAGGTTCTGTTTTCCTATATCTGTCAAGGAATTGCATGGGTAAGAAATAATTTTTCTTATGTTAAGAGGATGACTTACAAAAATGTTGCAAATTAGCCCAAACTTGAAAGCCAAGCATGTAATAGAATTAGCTCTAAGATTAAGCAGGATTGAGGGAAGTAACAGTTTTAATAAAAATGGAAAGTGTAAAGTCATAGCCTTGGTATGACTGTTATTTCAGACTGCTGTGGATGAAAGCCCAATGGATGACTCATTGTGTTCGTTGGTCAGAGAGAGGATGAGGGAACATTTCAGGGAAACACATCTGAAAGATGGTTGAGAGTGACTTGTTTGTGAATTTTTAGCACATTGGGCAAAATTTTGATGAAAGAGCAGAGAGACTTCTACCAGAATGAGAAAGGGGATTGGTGAAGAGGAAGTAGGGGAAGCAGAATTGGGACCTCAGTTGATCTATTGTGTGTATGATATCAATGTAGTGTTTGGGCTGGGGCATTCTTTTGAAAGAATTATTTGGCCTCCTACTTCGTCCCACCCTCCACCTCAAGTGTCAGACTCAAGAGTGAACCCTGAGTGCTGGTGCATTCAAATGGTGAAAAGTGATTTCAAAACAAGACAAAAACTTGGTTTCAGCACAAAAGCATCAACAGAGTGCTAAAGACTACAGATAAAAAGATAAAGGAGAAAGAAAATTTGATCTTTCAATGAAATGTGTGGAGTGTGAGATAAAATCTACTTGCTTGGAATCCTTGAAATATGTTTCTTTGATCAATCTATTTTAGGCACATAGAAAACAAAAGATGCAAGGATAGCTAACAATAAAGTTCTCTTCTCAGCAAGACCACAAGTTGCTTCTTTTATTTCTGTGTCTTTGGATGAACAAGGGGAATTTCAAGTGATTTCAGCAGTGGATGAAATGTAATCCTCCCAGTCAGGACCAGGTTCAATCAAGCGTGCTGGATAAATCTCCATGATGCCAAGCCACTGGGCAAAACTGGGGCCAGTCAGTACAGAATAGGTTGAATGGCCTCTCCACCAGGCCAGTGCTGCTTTGCCCTCGAATATGTAGCTGTATAAGGATGATTTCTTTTTGGACAGTTTACTTTCAAGTACTTACTCCCCATCCAGTCTTTGACTGATGAGACCTCTGACTAGCCTATTTCTAGTTAGTTTGGAGGTAGAAAGTAAATTATAGAAAAACATTTAAGAGAAAATATGAAAAACTGTTGTGAGATTCTGTATTTCTACGCACACATTCAAGGTACTATAAAAGAAAAGAATGTATATAACATGGCAGGCAGCTCTATACCATTTTATGTCATTTAATCTTATGAAATATCTCTGTCACAGAAGAGGGAAATGACAATGAGCATTAATTTGACTGAGTTTGAACTTTTGGCATGTGTCAAGGATGAAGTTCTAATTCTGGCTTCAAAACCCACTCTACTACACCCATGCCGCAGGACACCTGGTAATCAAAATCATCTTATTCCGAAATCCATTCTCTATCTCTAATTCACTGTCCTTGAACAAAGCCAGTACAGACTTGTACCAGACCTCACTCTTTAACAAAACCTACATAAGTTTCTAAACTGGGACAAGTCATTTTTTTCTAAGCTTCCTCATTTATGAAATGGAAATGATGACAACTAACTGACTTCATAGGTTATTATATAGTTTAGATACACTGAGTATCTAAAACTACTTGTAACTGACATACAAACCTCAAGTATACTTGCTGTCCCAAGTAGCTTAGATTCATGTTAGACTTTGAAGAAGTGAGCTCTGTGAATAGCTCAGAGAATACTATTTGCTAACTAGGACTGATCTGGTCACAACCTAGACCATACCTATTGGTCTTTAATCATAAAAGACCAACCAGTCTCAGCCTCCAGGAATAATCCATCTATCTGGAGAGTCGGGGCCCAGGCTATTCACTGTACCCAGAAGATGGCTTTCATGGTAGGTGGAGTCCAACACGTCCTGGAGAAGCCTGGCAGGTTCTAGAGGGAGCCAAGAAAACACGCATACCAAGGCACCACCCAGGATATGTTAACGCCTGCATTTTGACTTACAATCATCCCGCCATATACCCACACCCTCTTCGTAACATAGGAAGGAACTTCAACTGCATTTAGCTCCATACCTTCATTAAACACATAGCATAAGGGAGTCAAAGAAATTGGTTCAGAAATCTGCCCTGGTATTCCAGTTAGAAAGTGAAAGAATGAGAAGTACAGTGTAAGTCTGTGAAGACCCCCACAGCTCTCCCTGCTTCTCCATTAGATCAGCCTCACTAGAAGACATCTAGGACCTCTGTTTATGTCCTTCTCATTGTCTGGCATCCAGCTCCCTCTATTCCCTTACTTCTAATAATCC